CACCGGGGGTCGATTTAGCGGGTCTAGTGAAGACCCGCTAAATCGACCGCTGATTGCTGTCCCGTCGACTCCAGTACTCCACCGGAACGAGAAGCGTAAGGTATGTCGACAGGAGAGTTTCTCCCATCGACCCAGCGCGGTGTAGACACCACAGTAAGTCAACCTGTAGCTGGAGTTGCGTAACTTAGGTTTACTTAACCCCGTATTGTAGACCTGCCCAAAGCTCGAAAGCTTGTCTCTCACCAACAGAAATTGGTTTAATCAAAGATATTACCTCAAGCACCTTGTCCTTCTAGTAAAAATTATGTCAGTTGGGGGGGGAGGGGGAGGAACGTCATCGTGATTTTTTAAAACTAAAATAGCGATCCCAGTGCAACCCATGGTGTGTGTGCAATTAGACTGGCATAAAGGTGCATTATGCCATTGTAGCTTATTTCCCTTCCAGTGTGGGTACAAGAACCTTTATACTGCTTTAATTACACCAGTCCTGGAGAGGAGATGTGCACTGCCACAATGAAAGCAACTCTTCAGCAATATGTCATGAAAATGACACTCCTATAACCGAGTCAGTCACGGGATGCCCAGGCATAAGGAAAGCATAGGAACACTATGTATAAGAGATACTACTTTTATGTGTAGACAAGGGCTTAAGGGAGCCTAAGCCACTTAGATGCAGATTTTTAGAAGTATTTAGGTATTGCTGTGCTCAGCATTGCCATGCCTAATTGATTTAGGAGCCTAAGTCTAATTTTCAAAAGGGATTTAGGCATGTTGGAGCCAAAATCCCATTACCAGTCATGGGCAAGGCCTAACAGAGCAGATCCGAGAAAGAGATACAGAATAATGCGGTATTCTGCGGCCGTGAAAAGGCTAATGCAATTCTGGGATGTATTTCCAGTAGAGAGATAGGGAAGTGTTGGTACCATTATACAAGGCACTGGTGAGACCTCACCTGGAATAGTGTGCACGGTTTTGGGCGCCCATGTTTCAGAAAGATGAATTCAAACTAGAGCACATGCAGAGAAGGGCTATTAGGATGATCAGAGGAATGAAAATCCTACTTTGGGACAGGAGACTTAAAGAGCTTGGCTTGTTTAGTATAACCAAATGCAGGCTGAGGGGAGATATGATTGCTTTCTATAACTACATCAGAGGGATAAATACCAGGGAGGGAGAGGAGTTATTTATGTTAAGCACCAATCCTGGAACAAGAACAAATGGATGTAAACTGGCCAACAACACATTTAGGCTTGAAATTAGATGAAAGTTTCTATCAGAGGAGTGAAGGTCTGAAATAGCCTCCCAAGGGGAGCAGTGAGGGCCGAAAACATAACTGGTTTCAAGCTTGAGCTTGATAAGTTTTTGCAGGGGATGGTGTGATGAGATTGCCTATGACATCTGGCCCAAATGCAAGTGCTAGTAGCAAATATCTCCAACAACCAGACAGGACACTAGGTGGGTCGGGCTCTGACCTACTACAGAGAATTCTTTCCCAGGTGTCAGAGTAACAGCCGTGTTAGTCTGTATTCGCAAAAAGAAAAGGAGTACTTGTGGCACCTTAGAGACTAACCAATTTATTTGAGCATGAGCTTTCGTGAGCTACAGCTCACTTCGAAAGCTCATGCTCAAATAAATTGGTTAGTCTCTAAGGTGCCACAAGTACTCCTTTTCTTTTTCCCAGGTGTCTGGCTGGTGGGTCTTGCCCACATGCTCAGGGTCCAACTGATCAGGGTATTTGGAGTTGGGAAGGAATTTTCTCCCAGGTCAGATTGGCAGAGACCCTGGGGGGGAGGGGAAGGGGTTTGCCTTCCTCTGCAGCATGGGGCACGAGTCACTTGCTGGTTTGAACTAGTGTAAATGGTGGATTCTCTGTAACTTGAAGTCTTTAAATCATGATTTGGGGACTTCGGTAACTCAGCCAGAGGTTAGGGGTCCGTTACAGGAGTGGGTGGGTGAGGTTCTGTGACTAGATGATCACAATGGTCCCTTCTGGCCTTAAAGTCTATGACTTGCGACTGCCGAGCCCCGGCAACGTGAGCCCAGATCCTGCCATTCAATAATCCTGACTCTCTTCAGCCCCACAGCACAGCCTGTGGCCTGTCCAGACCCGCTGCCGAGGAAGCGTGTGTGTGAATTGGGAGAGGAGAGGATGGACATGAAGGAATCAGTCAGAACCTTGCAGGGTCATTCCCTGCTGCTGGGAAAGCCACCTGCATGGGGCAGTGCTGCAGCTAATTGAATGCTCTGTATCTGCAGCCAACTCCAGGCTCATACTTTTAACTTCCTGAACCAACTGTGGTCCCAAGAAGTGGGACACTCACCCCCTCCCCCACATAGACAAACCCAGTAGACATGGGCTCCAATGAAGCTCGAGAACACCTTATCTCCAGATCCATGCTGAATGCTAAAATCTAGAGCCTGTTAACAGAAACACCTCCCCTGATTTCAAGTGGGGTACATGGGACACCGAGAGGGGCTGTCTTCACTACAGTTCACCCTCAGTCCTCAGCAAGTACGTTGATCAGCTGGAGAGGGGTCAGAGAAGAGCCACATGATTGATTAAAGGATTAGAAAACACGCCCTACAGTGATAGACTCAAAGAGCTCAAGCTATTTAGCTTTACAAAGAGAAGGTTCAGAGGTGCCTTTATCCCATCTATAAGAACCTACATGGGGAACAAATATTTAATAACGGGCTCTTCAATCCAGCAGAGAAAGGTCTAACATGCACCAATGGCTAGAAGTTGAAACTAGACAAATTCAGACTCGAAATACATTTTTGACAGTGATGGTAATTGAACATTAGAACAATTTCCCAAGGATGGTGATGGATTCTCCATCACTTGAGCACTGATATCCTCCAACACCTTTCCCTGAAGGACAGATGAGTTCTTCCACAACTGATGGGGAAAGAATCCTAGAGTGTGCATGAAGAAACAGTAACATGGGCACAGGGCTTTGCTGTGAGGATGCTCACTCCTGGGCTAGCTTAACCTGGGTGCTAATCACCGGGGTTAACGGTGTAGCAAAGACATACCCAAAGTCATGGAAAAAGCTCGGCTTTACAACCTCAGTATGCCACACGGCCAGAGACAGCAGTGAGTTCAAGAAGCCCAGATCATGTCCCACACCAAATAAGGGTGGGATCCATTCATTCTCCTCGGCTGACTCCAATCTCCTGCCCCTGAACTGGTGGGGCTTCTTCAGTATCCCCGGCTGGGCAGGTCCTCTTTTCCCCAGAATTTGCTGCCAGTTAGGCCCACCCCACACATGGGTTCAGAAAGTGACTCTCTTGCTCTCGGGTATACTGAGCAGGGCTCTGGATGGCGGTTGTGGACGGTGCTATGCGTAGGCTTGGAAGGATTCAATTTTTATCAGTAAACATTGATGAACATCTATTTCACCAGACAACCACAAACTGAAGATAAAATATTTCCATGGATGACAACTGAAATTCACAGCTAGGCAAAGTAAGAAAAATGCTCCTTGAGAACTTCCTAGAGTCTGATTTAAGGCTATTTCGTTTGTTCATTTGACATAGGATGTTGCAATTTGCGTTTTCACGGTTAAAAAGTTTTAACTTTTTAATCTCAACATCTATGGTAGATAAAAATTGAAAAACAAAATGCTTAAAATAAACATTGATATTATCCATCGAAATTATAACAAAATAAAAATCGAATTCTGCCAAGCATAGCTATAGAGAAGTTTAGACAGATGATCTAATGGTCCCTTCTGGCCTTGACCTCTATGATGCTAAGGGGGTTCCCCCAGTGTTTCCATGGTAGAGGGGACTCTTTCCCAGACCCCAATCAGCAGCAGCCTAAACTGTTGTGTCCTGGTCAATGCCCTCTTGTTGTGACTGAGGCAGAATATATGTGTGTGAGATCTTTGCCCAAGGAGCTGGGAAAGTTTCAGGTCCAGCCAAGGTCTCTCTGCCTGGAGCAGTGCATGAACGAGGCATTCATGGCAACACAACAGGAACTGAATCAGACCAGCCACAGCACTGTTGATTACTGCAGAGGGGATGCTGGGTACTGAAGGCATATAGTAGTTTTATCACATTATGAACGAGGATGTCAAGTGTTGGGCCCAACTGGCCTCCAATGTCTTCCCAAGTGACTCATGTGGCTTGGCCATCTGCTCAGTACATCGGAGTCCATACTAGCCCACCAGCTTTATGCATGATCCAACAAAAGCTGGATGGAGAAGACCTCATGGACAGCCTCTCACATGCTGGAGGAAGGTCGTGGCTTCCAACCTTAATATAGAGCAGGCCACAGAATTGGCAGGAAGCTGGGCTCTTTGGAAAGGGGCGATCCAAAGTGTTCACTCTATGCTCCACCAGCAGGAGAATGAATGAATGGACACTGGGAAAACAGGAGAAAGTGACTCTCCAATCTTGTGGGACTAAGAACAGGTCATTTTGGTTCCTTGGAGATTTTAAAAATCGGGAAAAAAAATCATTTTGGGTTGGACTGAAAAGGAAAATTTTCAGCAAATCAAAATTAAAAAAATTCATTTTGGGTTGAAACATTTAGATTTTGAGTATTTTAAAACTTTATTTTGTAAAAAGTAAAATTAAAGGACGTTTCTAAACACACAGTCATTTTGAAACAAAATATCTACATATTTTGGCTTGATTTTGAGCATTTTTAAACGTGTGACTTTTTTTTTCAAATAAAAGGAAATTTTGAAACAAGTCATTTTGATCCACAAAAAAGGGATATGTTTTGTTTTGAGCATTTTTCTGTTTAAAAAATAAAATTCAAGGAGATTTCAAATTGAAGAACCAAAAGGATTTCCCCCCCAGAAAAGTCCGAATTAAACATTTTGATTTTTTCAGAATGTTATTTTTAATTTTTTCCCCCTCAAAACCATTTGGCGAAACCGACACGAATTTGTGAAATTTTGTGGCATGTCTGCATTTTACATTGAAAAAAGGTTCAGTTAAAATTTTGTCACCCACTTCTGCTCTTTAATCTCCTTCCAGTGCTCTCAGGCGTGACTTATGGGTGCAGTATTTTTAGACAGAAGGAGGGATTCACCGGCTGCCGGCAACCCCTTCATCAGGGCCATCAGTGCCTCGTCAGCGTGTTATTTATTTTATATTGAACTCTAGTTACTCTGGCCTTACGTTTTCTGTGCACCACTGCTCTTCAAACCCTGTCTTATACACGTTCCCAGGGGACAATGAGGGTGTGAGCGGGGAGATTTAAGAACTGGGGAGTTGTTTGGCATTGTGGGACAAGTACGTTAGCTGGATGTTGCTGCTAAAGCTACTGGGAGAGCAGCAGTTAGTGATGCTGACCTTGAAACAGTCATTGTTAAGTTTCAGGTAGGGGTAGTTTGTGCCTCTCCCAGGGCCTGTTTCAGGCTGTCCGCAGACTCAGGAAGATGTTGGGAAGTTCCTTTTTGCAATGACGAGGGCTGTTGGAATATGCTGATGGTAAGTGAGGGATTCTGTAGCCAGGGAGTAGCTAGAACTCTGATCCACCGCTGAACTCCTGAAGATGGAGAAATAACTGCTCACAAAGGAAGGTTTAGGGGCTCCACAGCTGTGTAGTTCCTTTCTGTCCCTTCCCCAGGGAGCCGGAAAGACTCTTTGGTCACTGCTAGGGTTTCCGTTGGTTTCTACTCATGATGTCACATGGCTCAGAGATGGTCTGCTGGAGGTGACGGAACTGCTCCCAACCAGTGTGACTGGGAGGACGGAGTGCCCACAAGGCATGGCCCACTGCGAAGCTCGGAAGGGAACAGAGCCCAGAGAGAGAACTCAACTTGGAGATCAAAACAGGACTTGCCCAAGCCAGTCGGTCCTGAGTGCACGTCGTACCGGCTGGGGTGAGGGGCATCAGGAAAGTAACTGGTACCCCAGATGCCTCTCTGAGCCAAGTTGGTTACTCTAGGCCTTCCCTTTTCAGGGCACATGGGTTGTGCTTGGCCTGGGCCCCTTTCCAGGCTGGCTGGGCTGAGATGGGCCTACTTTGGTCCCCCCTTCACCTGTGCCCACTCCAGCCAGGCCACTCTCTTAGGCCGTGTGGGTTGGCATGCTGCCCTCTCCAGCAGGGTCCCCTTTCCATGTGGGCTGGGTGGGGAGAGCCCCCTCCGCAACAGAGTCCCCCTTCCAGGCCGCGATGGTGCCTTCCCCGCCCGGGTCCCCTTTCCACGCCACCATGGTGCCCTCGGTGGCTGGGTCCCCTTTCCAGGCGGCAACACTGGCACCCTCTCCTGGGTCGGGCTTCTCCTTCCAGGCGCCCCCGGCCACGTCGGGCTCGCCAGCTTTCCAAGCGGTGTGGGTGGCCACGTGGCGCTCAAGCAGGGTGCGGTGGGAGAAGTACTTGTTGCAGATACAGCACTGGAAGCGCTCGGGGCGGTGCGTGCGCATGTGGACATTGAGGGAGCTCTTCTGGGTAAAGCGCTTGCAGCAGATGGAGCACTGGAAGGCCCGCACGCCCGTGTGCGTCACCATGTGCTTCAGCAGGTAGTCCCGCAGCGAGAAGGAGCGCCAGCAGATGCTGCACTGGTGGGGCTTCTCGCCTGCAAGACAGCCGCACAGGAGGATGTAGGAGTGGAAGGGAGCTCTGGGGTCAGTGAGTCCAGACCTCGTCATCTGCAGTGGATCAGCTTCCCAGATACCCCTGGGTCAGCCCCAGCCCTGACCTCCCTGGTTCTGGCTTTCTAGGGCGCAGCACCAGACCTGACACCGCTTGGTCCCAGCTTTCAAGGGCAGAGCCCCAGCCCTGATCCACCCGCACGTCCCACCCCAGCCTTGACCCCCCCACCCCCATCCTGGCTCCCTAGGCTCAGCCCCAGCCCCGACACACTGCCCCCCACCACTCAAATCCCAGCTTCCTGGCTGACAGCTCCTGGGGAAGAAACGGACCATCCATTGGAAACTGGCCTCTGTATATAGGTGCATTTTCTCCCTGGGAGCAGAGGGGTCCCTCTTCTACAGTTCTGGGGAGACCCTTCACTCATGCTGAGCACCCCAATCCCAGAGGCCTGCTGTCCCGGGGAGGGGAGGAGAGAGCCCCTTTCTACACAGCTCTGTGTAACCCCAGCTGGGGTGAACAAGAGGTGGCCAGCATGCTCTGGCCAAGGGCATACTGGCTCTCAGCCATAGGGGATGGAGGTGGGGATCATCTCACTGCCAGGGAAGACTCTCTAGGAGGGGACAGCGCAGAGCCCTGGCCAGAGGGGCAGAGACCCTCAGCCAAGTGGGATGGAGGGGTGGAGAGTCACTAGGGGCGATCCAGATCAGGGAGCAAAAGCCCTCTGCTTCTTCCCCACACATAGTGATTGAATGCCCTCCTACACTGTACCACGTGACCCCAACTCCCTGCTGGACATGGGGCCCCACCACCACCCCAGTGTCATCCCACGCTTCTGTGGCTGTCCATCTCGGGGTCTTGCAGCACATCTCAGGGCAGCTGGCCCTGGTGGGTGGTCAGGCTCCGCTAGAGAGTGAGTCGGGCTAGATCCATCTCGGGAGAATGGCTTCCTAAGTAGCTGGGCCATGGTTAATTAGTTACGGAACACCTGGGCCTTTTTCAGGGTTATGAAGGCTCAGACAGGAAAGTAAACAGATACGAGAAGCGCTTGGGGAAAGAACTCCTCAGGGGACCTGGCTAGGAAGCTACCACCAGTGTTCTCCCTAGAGAACAGTCCTCAGAATGCAGAGAGAGACACCTCCTAAGGGGAGAGCGTCTCAGGGGCAGCTGGCTGGGGATCTCCCCAGGAAAGGAAACTGAGGAAGTGTACTCCTTGACCGGGGAGGCAGAGTGAAGGATGCCGAGCCTCAGAGGAACCTGCTCACCAGGAAACAAGAGAAGCACCCAAGGAAAGGAATTCTGTCCTGGTCCGAGGAAGGGTCGCCACGGTTCGACCTCTGTGGGGACCTTGACCCAAGAGGAGAGACCTTTCCCCAGCTGCTGACAAGAGGCCCTGATTCCGGAAGAGGACTCCGGATCAAGAGGGCTCACTGGTAAGGGACCTGCGGGGGCTGGACTAAAGTTAGCTCAGCCCCTTCCCCCTCCAGCGAGAGTGCTAGGGTGCAGACCAATCTGTGTAATGTTCTGTAATGCCCAGTAGGGGAAACTGAGGCAGAGACATAATGGCGGCGCTGCACCAGACTGCCAGAGGGTGCACCAGGGGCAAGGGCTCCCGCTACACAGCACTTCCCTCACCTGGGGCTGCTGGCCCTGCTTTACCGACTGGAGACACGACTCTGGGAGGAGACACCACTCATCCCAGGGACCCTGGACCCCAGTCCCACCAGTGATGGTCCCTGGAACAGCCCTCCTGCCCATATAACCCACTGGTGTGTGTGTCCTGGGTCCCCGTCCCTGCTGACCCCCCCAGCTGCTACAGCCCCCAGCTCCTTAGCCCTGGCCTTTTAGCTTAGGAGGCCCCTGGTTCGACCCTGGGGATGTCAGGTGCAAGGGCAGTTGTCACACTTGCTCTCCATAAGCGCCCTGGCACCACCCAGAGCAGGAGAACAGGAGGCTGTTCATTGGCTCAGCCTCCAGTGCCGCCCCTGCTGAGGCTCTTCCAGGTAATCACAGTGAGAGAATTCACCCTGCGGCTTACACCAGCCACGGAGGGAGCAAAGGGCATCTGCCCCCAGCGCCCCACACCCCCTCACCTGAGTGGATGAACATGTGCTTGGTGTAGTTCTTGCGGGAGCTGAAGGTCTTCTGGCAGTGGCTGCACTGGTAGGATGGCTCGGAGCAGCGGGAAGGCCCCGGGCGCTGGACCTGCTCGCCGTGCAGGGAGCCCGTCACCATGGCGCTGGGGCTGAGCTGTACCATGTTGGCGGCTCCGGCCTCCTGCTGGACGCTGTAGAAGCTCTGGGCCACGCCAGGCTGCGGCAGGTGGAACTGGAAGATGCTGGTGGTGGTGGTGGTGCCGGGTCCGGCGGTGCTCACCTCTGCTTTCAGCTCCCGCTGGATGCCCAGGGAGGAGACGAACGCCAGGCCGCGGGGCTCGGGCGCCTGGGCCGGGAAGCTGGCCGGGGCTGGCTTGAAGTCTCCAGCCAGCGTCCTCATGTTGGAGGCCTCCAGGCTGCAATCGGCGCGGAACTTCTCGCCCTCCCGGGCTGCCCCATGGCTGCTCTCCTCACTCTGCCAGGCCGGGATGAAGGACTCGGAGAAGACATCCTGCCCGCTGAAGAAATCTTGCCCCTCCACGGCGGGATAGTCTAGCGGGACGCCATCCTTCCTGCCTGCCCCGCCTGCGCCGCTCCCGCCCCCAGTGTCTTTGGCCTTACTGCAGCTGGGGAAGGCTCCCCCACCACATTCCCCGAAGCAGCTCAGCTTTCCGCCACCCTCCTCCTCTTCCTCGTCTTCCTCCTCCTCCTCCTCGTCCTTGATGATGACAGGCAAGGCGTCAGAAAGCTGGAGCCGCACCGGCTGGCGCTGCTTGCGGCTGTGGCAGCTGGGCTGAGCCTCGGCCGGGTGCAGCCCGCCGTAGGGCCCCTCACCGTCGCTGCCAGCGGTTGCCAGTTCCCCCTCAGATGCTGTCCTCTCCCTGGCCTCCCCCAGCTGCCTCTGCTGGGAGGAGAGCAAGTCACGGAGCTTGTAGCGCACCTCCGAGGCACACAGCAGCTTGGGCGCCTCCAGCTGGGCAGTGCCAGGGGGCTCCATCTCACTGGGCCGGGAGGCCGGGAGACCGACAGCACCTGGGCTCTCCTTGGTTTGCTCCTGGGGCTTGACAGTCAGCGGCCTGGGGACGGCGAGGGGCATGGAGGAGGCAGTGGCGGACGGCTTGGGGCTGCGGCTCTGGGAGATGATCTGGGTGCACTCATCGATGACTGTCTTGATCTGGAGGATGGAGGCGGCCGTCAGGATCTGCAAGGCCTCGGACTGGGCCACCACCAGAGAGCCGCTGTACATGAACTCCACCAGCTGCTGCACCACCTGGCTGGGCACCACGGCGGGCACCTCGATCTCCGAGTAGCCCAGCAGCAGCTTGTCGTGGAAGAAGGGGCTGCCGGCGGCCAGCACGCACCGGTGGGCCCGCAGGGTGGCCTCATGGATGTGCACGGTCACATCGCAGAAGTGCCCGCCCAGGCGCTGCCCGTTCAGCGTCTCCAGCAGGGACTTGCTGAAGTTCTGCAGGTGGATGTAATGGACAGCCTCAGCCATGGCTGCTTCGTTCCGGAACGAGTGGGCAAGTGGGGGGACGTATCTCCGTGCCAAAGGCGGGGGGAGTGTTCAGGGCTCACAGGAGGGGTGGGTACGCATCAGTACAATGTGGAGGAGCTTGGGGGTTGGAAACATCACAAGATGCTGCTCTGAGCAGGGCTGCAGGGACGTGCTTCGTGCAAAACCTGAAACAGAGAGAGAGAGACAAGAAACAGCAGCTGCTGGGTGGGTGCTGGTGGCTTGTGATATGAGACTAGATGATCTGGGGTCACTTCTGGCCTTAACCTCCATGAATCTAAATAGCACAGCTGCTTCTAGCCCAAGTAGTCCCTTCCCTGCCTACCACCCTGAGCGCCTCTCCTCCTTACGGGGCCCTCCCTGCCCTCAGCTGACATGGAGCATGGACAGGAGCGTTGGAAGAGCAAGGATGTTTGTGGGAAGGGGTAAGCAAGGTGTAGAAAGGGGAGGGATATGAAAGAGCGGCGCCCGGAGTGAGTGCTGGGTAGGGCGTGGCTAGTATCTATACCAACCCTTAGCTTAGTTACACTGCTTTGGGCTCAGGTGGAAGTTTAAAGTGCTAGAATTTTACTGGTCTGACTCTCTGGGTGGACGCTCTTCTGATATAGGCCAGCACAGTTTGGCTGGTATAAGCTGCATCCATGCTAGGCGCACTTTGCTGGTACAGAAGGCTGTGGGGCCTAGCCGAGAGACACTGGGACTCAGGACACCTGGGTTCTATTCCCAGCTCTGCCCTGCTGGGTGACCTTAGGCAAGACAATTCCCCTCTACAGCCGGCCCCTGTGCCACAGATGGGGGATAATGATACTACCTTCCTTTGTAAAGCGCTTTGAGACCGGGTTAAAAGCACTAGATAAGAGGGAGCTGTTAGTATTATGCTAGCAAAGTGCTCCAAGTGTCGACGTGACAGTGCCTTGTTTGGGTTAGTTTATGTTGCTTTGGGGTTTAAGTTAACCAAAAGGAGGCACTCCTATACCAGAATCGTATTAACCCCCCCGGGGGAAAACCCTATGATGCCTAAACTCACTCAGCAGCTAGGTGCCTATTGTTTCTGCCTCTGGGGATGCACATAGCAGCCCTGCACCAGGTGTCCAGATGCCTCTCTCCTGCCTAGAGCTCAGAGTGATTCACAGATGCAGGGAAGATAGCTGTTTGCCTGCCTTAATCAGGTGTGGGGCCTGATCTGGTAAGCAGGTTCAGGAGGGCCTCTCAGGTGAGTTCACACAAAGCAACCATGAGGGAGGGAGGGAATTATAATTACATAATAATTAAAGAGTCATTGGAGCAGGAGAATTGAATCTTGGGTCTTCCACCCCCCGGGCGAGTGCTCTAACCACTATACTATGCAGTCACGCTCATGTGCGCTCTCTCGCACGCCCTTTCTCTCTGTCTAAAGAGTCATTGGGGTCAGAAAGGTAGTGAGAATGACTCTGCGGCCTGGGGGTTAGGGCAGAGGGGGAACAGAACATGAGTCTCTCACATGCCGGGTGAGTATCCTAACCACTGGGTTAAAATTTTCTCCCTTCCCTTGGCGTCTTGCTAAAATGGCATAAGGCATCTCATGCCTTCCCAGCTGCAGATCGCTGGCAGAAATCGACACTTCCCTGCCGCCTGGACGTAGGCATCTATCTGTGAGAGAGAGGTGGTGGGTGGGGGCTTAGCACATCCCCTCCTGTTGGCATTTACATAGCTTACGTGGCTCCCTGACTAGTGTGCTGGTTTTCGTGCATCGCAGTCTAAGGCGCTGATCTCTGCCCATTCATTGTTTAGACAGCTTAGGCACCCAGGCTTTGTGAATTGCAGTGATTCTCCCAGATACCAGGACAACTAAATCTTTTTGTGCATTGAGGCCTAAGTGACTTGCCCAGGGTCGCACAGGTGAGTGGCAGAGCCAGGAACGGAAGCCGGGTCTGATGAATCAAGGCTCCACCCACTAGGCAACGCTGCCGCCCCACGCAAAGCGCTGTACACGGTGGGGGTTGCCAGCTCTTCTGGGTTTTGCAGTAGCTGCAGGGTGTTTCTTCCAGCCCCAGCTCCTGGAGTGAGAATCTCGGCTTCCCCTTATAAAACACAAAGGGGAGGGTCGACCCCCAATGGCTGCCATACAAAGCTGGGGAGCGAACACCTCCCAAAAGCACCATGGCAAAGAAACGAGCCCAACACCTATTGCGAGGATCATTAAATCTCGTGGGTTTTAAGCCAAACGCAGGCTGTGGAGGGCGGGACAGGTGGGGTCCTAGGGCTGGGGGCTGCAGCAGGGACTCACCTTCCTCTTGGCAGAGGGGGAAACGGACACGTGGGTGGGGTTTGCTCCAGGTCACTCAGGGTGTCAAGAGCAGAGCCGGGGAGAGAACCCAGGAGTCCGGGCTCCCATCACCGGCCCCCACTCCCCTCCCAGAACCGGGAGAGAACCCAGGAGTCCGGGCTCCCATCGCCCCCCCCCACTCTAACCACTGGCCCCCACTCCCCTCCCAGAGCCGGGAGAGAACCCAGGAGTCCGGGTTCCCGCCCCCAAGCAGACAAGGGAGCGACTCAGGTGAGGGGTGGGGCTCAGAACCAGCCTAGGGGCGGGGCTTAGCGGCCCTGTGGGCGGGGCCCCAGAGGACAGAAGGCCCTTGGCTGAGGGCGGGGCCTCACTCACCTCCTCGGGACCCCTCCATGACCCGCCGGGCCGTTTCCCTCCGTGACCCGGAACCGCATCGCCGTCCCATTTCCGACTGTAGATTCACTTCCGGGTCATGGCGGGCATCAACCATAGAGTGAGCGGTGGAGAGGCGGCATGGCGGGCCGCTATCAGACCGGAAGTGGTTGGGGAAACCATAGAGACCGGAAGTGCAATGGTAGCCGGCCGACCATAGAGAGGCAGAGAGTGGCCACAAGAGGTGTGACCTCCACAGCGTGCCCCCGCTCCAGAGGCGCGGCTCAGCCTGCAAGGGGGGGCGGGGCTGGATTTCCCAGCTCCCCCCTGCTCCCCCGCAGCTGAGCCGCCTCCAGTGGAGGGAGGGAGCTGGGGTGCGTGTGGGGGGGTGTTAATATACATTTAATTGTCGGCGACTGAAAGGAAAGGACTTGAAGAACATTTATTTATTTCATTTTTTGCAAAAAATAAATATAGATTTTTAAAAATAATCCGCAACTTAGTTTAAAATTAAAGATACTTTTTGCATATTTTTAGCAATTACTAGACTAATTAACACACTTGTTTTAATTACAGGAATTTATATTTTTTGGTGGGCAGCAGTTTTGAGAAAATCTGAAAATATTTTTAAAGAATTTCTCTGCATTTCCATGTACATTTACAGAACTCGTTTTTGGTTTTTATGGGTTTAGTTTTGCAGAAATATTTTAAACTTTTAAAAAAAATTACAGGCATTTATTCTGTTTTTGGCAGTAATTTTGAGAAAATCTAATATTTTTTGAGAAATTCTCTATATTTCTATGTAAATTTACAGACATAATTTTTGTTTATGTATTTATTTTTGTATGTATTGCACAGAAATATTTAAAACATGGATTTTTTTAAAAAAATAGAAATTTAATTTCTGTGGCAGTAATTTTGAAACATCTGCAGAAATTTTTGAAAGAAATTCTCTGTATTTTCATTTAAATTTACAGACAACTTTATTTATGTATTTATTTTTCCAGAACTGGGAGGGGGTGATTCTGGGGGTGCAGGGGGGAGATGAAGCCCAGAACTAGGAGGCATGATTCTGAGGATCCAGTAGGGGAGATGGGGCCCATAGTTCGGAGAGGGGTGATTCTGGGAGCTCAAGAGTAGTCGTGGCCCAGAGGAGGGATGACTGACTCTGGGGGTGCAATGGGGGAGATGGGGCCTGGAGCAGGGAGAGGGGATATTCTGGGGTATAGAGTAGAGATGGGGCCCCGAGCTGGCGGGGTGATTCTATGGGTGCAGGGGGAGATGGAGCCCAGAGTGGAGGGGGCGGGTGAGGCTGGGAGTACAGGGGGATGTGGAGTCAGGAGGTGAGAGGTGATTCTGGAAGGGCACAGGGAGGTGTGAGTGGGGCTGATACACATTGCAGTGGGTCTCAAATTTTTGTACTGGTGAACCTTTTCACATAGCAAGCCTCTGAGTGTGACCCCCCCTTATAAATTAAAATAACTTTGTAATATATTTAATGCCTTTATAAATGCTGGCGGCAAAGTGAGGTTTGGGGTGGAGGTTGACAGCTCGTGACACCCCATATAATAGCCTTGTGACCCCCTGAGGGGTCCCGACTCCTAGTTTGAGAACCCCTGTGTTACTGCATAGTTCATGCTCATTAACCTGGTGTATAATTCCTCTGCCTCCTGGGATCATGCTCACCGTCCCCTCTTTCCCCACAGGTATCCCCCTAGCCTTGCTAATCCATACACACTGGTGGCTGCTCCGCTGTAGCCCGTGTGCTAAGGCAGCAACCAGGAGGAGCTGGGAAACCACCTGTCTGAGGCTGAGCTCCAGATGATGTGAGCTGAGCCATATGGTAGAAAAGTTCTCCAGGGGCTACCCATCGTGGCTGCCAAGTCAGCACCAGTTTGAAGCCCAGCCTGCACCCCAAGTGGTAGTTGATCAGCCCTGACCAGAACGAGATCAGCCCTGTCTCAATCCCCCGGGACCAGTGCTTAATTTATAATGAAAGAGGTGCCAGGGCTCAAGCAATTTTTTTACATTCATAACTGATGCAGCAAGCCCAGAGGTGCCGGGGCTAGGAACTTCCAAGCCCTGGCACAAATTAAGCCCTGCCCTGGACAATGCCCAGGCTGAGAGCAGTTGTCAGGGCTGGGGGAATGGAGATTCTGGGCTGAGATGGAGCTGTTCTGAGTTTGTACAGCACCTAACACAATGGGCTCCTGGGGCACAACTGGGACTGCTATCACTACCCTAATGCAGTTAAAAAATCATGCAGAGCACCTAGAACAATGGGGCATTGGTCCATGCCTGGGACTCCCAGGTGCTGCCGTAAAACACTTAATAAATAATGTACAGCGCCTAGCACAATGAGGTGCTTGTCCATGCCTGGGACTCCTAAGCACTACTAGAAAATTAATAATTAATAATAGAGCTGCACCAAAAATTCTGGCAGAGCAATTTTCCATGGCTGGCGGGGGGAGTTATGCTGAAGGCTGGGAAGTAGCTGAATACTGCAGATCTAAGGAGGTGACCTGCACAGTGTGATGAAGTGGGGATTTTCCCTTGTTATGTTGTATGTGAGCCTATGTGAGTCTTACTGTTTTGCATGAATGCTGTGTGTGCCTCAGTTTCCCTGTGTATTGCACCAATGTCTAGGTGGTGGGAATAAGGGAGTGTGACTTTTGCGGGGGCTGCTCCAGCTGCTTGCACAGATGCTATGGCCGCCCCTTTGTTACCTCAGACCCAGGAGCGGGATGCGAGCAGGTGACTCTTGGCCCGGGAAGTGAAACAAGGGCTGGAGGAGGAGCAATGGGAGGGCAGGGGCCAGGCAGCCAGAAGAGAGTCAGTGTCAGCTGGCTTGGGGTTCAGGGTGGGGACCAGTGCCTTGGCTCTGGGCTCCCTTCCCCCCAAGATGGACTTGGCTGAAAGTCACTGATTTCTATGCTAACAAGCTCTGTTCTACGCTGTGTTTCTGTTGACCAATAAACCTTCTGTTTTACTGGCTGACTGAGAGTCACATCTGACTACAGAGTTGGGGTGCAGGGCCCTCTGGCTTCCCCAGGAGCCCCGCCCAGGCAGACTCGATGCGGGAAGTCCACGGTGTGGAAGGGGATGCTGAATGCTACAAGGTCAGACCCAGGAAGGTCGAAGCTGTGTAAGCTTCTTGCCCTGGAGACAGTATGTTCAGAGAGAGGAGGCTTCCCCAGAGTCCTTACTGGCTTCGTAGGGAGTAGTTCCAGAGCACTAACCCAGTGACTTTGTGACACGTTCATAAATGATGCAGCAAGCCCAGAGGTGTCTGTGCTAGGAACTTCCAAGCTTAGGGGTGCCGGGGCTCAGCGCTGGCAAGCTCTGGCACAAATTAAGCCCTGCCCTGGACAAGGCCCAGACTGAGAGCAGCTGCCCGGAGACCTATGGCTTGGGCGAAAGCTACAGCCACTATTGCAACCTCCTGCAGATTGAGAATAAGATGGAAGAGCTATTTCATCTTCTTCACCAATTTCTCCTCTTGCTTGAGCCCCTGCCTGGACTTGAAGGATATCCACCACCTGCAGGATCTCCTGGAATGGGTTTTCAGGACCATACATAATTACTCTCGAGTCTGGGTCTGCAGGCAAATCACCCCTCAGGATATTGGTATGGGGAAGCAAGTGGTGTGGACTGGCTGGCTCTCACTCTGTAATGTCCCTATGTACCTGTTTGGCCAAGGCACCCGCTGTGAGAAGATGAATGTCAACAAGAACATCTGCCTAGAGCAAATAAAAGACAAATCAGCGCGAGCACCGAACACAGCCCTTGGGTGATGGAGCAGGAGGAAAGTGCCAGCTGCAATATAATCAGTCAGTCATCCCATTCATCCACTCTTCAGCTAACTCATCCACCAACCAAACAGTCCATCCATCCATCTTTCACCCAACCTATCCATTGGTCATCCATCCATCCATCCACCAGCCAACCAACCCATCCATCCATCCAACCACCACCAAACAGCCCATCCATCCATCTGTCAACCAACGCATTCATCCATCAACCAAACAGCGCAGTCTGTTACCCACACAAAATTCTCTGTTACTCACACATTCTAGGACACCCGCCTTTACCCAGTTCCTAGGGCTCAAGGTGTAACCCTCTTAGTTTAGACACCTGCCCCTTACTCAATTCCTAGGGCTTAGGGTGTGCCCTTTGAGGGTTTGTATGGCCTTTTACCAGTGAAAGAGCCTTACACAGTAATATCCGTACCCTCTATTTATTGACAATTACCAAGCAGACTCCACTTGCTAAACATACAGTGCTGTGCTCAACAATCCTAATCAGGCAGATGGGCTTTCCCTGTTGGCCAGGCAAGGTCAGTCTCGTCTGGATTCTGGTTGCTGCACGTAACGGTCAGGCAGAGGATTCTTAGCAGCTTTGATCTTAGGTTGTGTCTTGGAGGTGAGTTCTTCTTCTTCCAGGTCTTTCCTTCTTCTTGTTCTTCTGTTTCCTCTCTGCTGGTCTCCTTCTTGAACTCCATAGTGAAACTTGAGTCCTGCTTAGCTGTACCTTAACCAATCATTTTACTAAAATTTTACTATCCAATCCTAACATATTGTAACAGAATTCTCTAACCAATCCTACCCCACCACCTTAATTTACACCTAGCAAAATTAATTATGTAACAGACAGAATAATGAAAGAACCAGACGGAGATCATACAGACAAACAATAGGGAAGTGGGGACCATAATGACAGAACAATAAAGAAATGAGGAGTTCACAACCACAGCAATTGATAAGTGATTTCTTGCTAGACAGAATGCTATCAAGGTAAGTTTTTTTTAACCATGTTAAGATCTGTTTCTTTATCTGGCAATAGTGGGGGTGTCTGCCCTCCTTTCTGACAGTCTGCTCTGAAGTCGGCACTCACAGTCGTGAGCCGCTCCAGACAGCGTGACACCCAGGGAGCCTTTTCAAGCAACGAAACAATTGATTAGTCACCTGCTACAGAATCTTTATGTCCTTGGGCGAGAGGGTGTTGAGCCCTGACCTGATCTTATGATCTATGACCCTGTCTCATGGGCACATTTAACTTGCTAGAGGTAAAATGGCATTGGCGTATAAGATTTACCAAGGGTGTGTTGCTTCTTAGCTTGGAACGTGCCTGGGTGGCTAATAGGTGGACATACAGAAATGGGTTCTTAAGCTTGCTAGGATTAAAGGCCTGTCGTGTCAGCACGAGGCCTGGTGGGGGGAGTTATGCTGAACCACAAACGGGTCCAGTACACCACAGGATTCTGCAAGACGGGAGTGCTGGGGACCTTTAGCAATTAGGTTGCCATGCAATGGCTAAGCCGTTAGACCGTATTTACATACAGGAATTAAGAAATGAATAAGTGCTGAATATTAATGTTTGATGCTTAATTATGGACACCCCAAAGCCCTCTGAAGATTGTTGGCGGTGTTGTGGCCGGGTTGGTCTGTAATGCTGCCTGCGCTGGCTGAAGACCGTGCGTGCCGATCTCCGGACAGACTGTCAGGAAGCAAAACACAAACCCTGAGTTGGCTGGGAGCTCTATAATTAGCTGTCCCCAACCAATTACCCCATGTAACTTCTTCAGGCATGTAGCAGCCTTAACATTGAGCCACCGATATTCCCCCGGGTCCTCTGATCTGCCACCCAGGTCAGCCTGTCTTGGGGACAGAAGGTTCTTTACACGAAGAATCACAACACTATTTCAGGAGTACTTGTGGCACCTTAGAGACTAACCAATTTATTTGAGCATAAGCTTTCGTGAGCTACAGCTCACTTCATCGGATGCATACTGTGGAAACTGCAGAAGACATTATATACACAGAGACCATGAAACAATACCTCCTCCCACCCCACTCTCCTGCTGGTAATAGCTTATCTAAAGTGATCGCTCTCCTTACAATGTGTATGATAATCAAGTTGGGCCATTTGATTATCATACATATTGTAAGGAGAGCGATCACTTTAGATAAGCTATTACCAGCAGGAGCGTGGGGTGGGAGGAGGTATTGTTTCATGGTCTCTGTGTATATAATGTCTTCTGCAGTTTCCACAGTATGCATCCGATGAAGTGAGCTGTAGCTCACGAAAGCTTATGCTCAAATAAATTGGTTAGTCTCTAAGGTGCCACAAGTACTCCTTTTCTTTTTGCGAATACAGACTAACACGGCTGTTACTCTGAAACCAACACTATTCAGGTTACTCCCAGTCCCAAAGGGCCAGTCACTTACCCTACGTCAATTGCACCTTAGATCTAACATCAAAGACAACGCTTGTAGCCAATCCTATAATAAGCTATGTACGGATTGATTAACTAGGAACAGGAAACAAGAGTTATTTTGAAGGTTAAAGCAGGTGAACATAGATACACAAAGGAGTTACAATCTTACATTTCCAAAGGTAACAGCAGCTTCTACAATAAGCAAGCTTTATGTCACCTTTAAGGCTAACCCAAGCTAAGCAGCTGGGGATCTCTTGCTTTTGCCCTGAAATCTTGTTCCCCAGAGTCCAAGCAGCATAGAGATCCAGTTGCTTTTTGTCAGGGATTTTCATCCCCTTCCTCCCTTGTGCAAACTTCTCTGATGGGAAGAATCCACTTTTATGAGTTGTCTTCATGTGGGAGGAGAGACGGCAGAACAACCAATGGCTTTTGTCCTCTTTATCGACTCACAATTGTCCATTGGTGTCAATGGACCTTTCTTGTTGGGTAAGATGTGACACCTTCTGATGGAGATCAGCCCTTTCCACTAGTTAATATCTCTCTCCTCTCTGGTGTTTCACACTGTGATACTCAACTATTCCTGTACACTATGGATACAGATGCTACAAGTGAGATTAATGTGCCCAGCAACTCACAAGCACTCGATAAAGTCTAAACCCCAAACAGATGTTTGGAATTCTAATACCTACATGACCAGCACCAACGCACAGGTGAGCCAGACTGAGCCCAGCTTGGTATTCGTCACAGTTCAGCTGAGGCACACGGACCTTGGCAGGAGTTGGGACCTGGTCTGCCCACGTCATACCTGCAACGGAGGAATCATCTGCCATGTCTTTGCAGGTTGCTCTGCTGTGTCGGATGTTCTCAGGGGTGGGGGAATGGAGATCCCGGGGTGAGATGGAGCTGTTCTGAATTTGTATAGTACCTAACACAATGGGGTCTCAGGGTTATGACTGGTTCTCTTTGGCGCTACTGTAATACACCTAATAAATAACACAGAGCACGTAGCACAATCAGATCCTGGCCCGTGTCTGTGGGCTCCCAGGCATTGCCATTGGTTTTGGATTCTCCCATAACTTGGATGGACGAGTGTCCAGCTAGCGTTGCCCTGTGTTCTAGGTGTATTTGTTTTTATGGCTTCTCACTTGGGAAGCAAGTCCGATCCTGGGATTGCAAATGCGATTGCCTGTCTCTCAGGTGTAGCCATTGCTGGAGGGAGGGTTTGAGGCATTGGTCTTACGATGTTGTTTCCTCTCTTGCAGAGGCCTCACACGCCACTCCTCAAAAGTGGAGCTAGAACAATGGGATCCTGGTTCATGCCTGGGGCTCCCAGATGCTACGGTCCTCTACCTCATAGAGCCTCAGGTGAGCCCCCTCTGCCCCCCACTTCCCCTGCCCCATGGAAGCCTAGGGGAGTCCCGTGCCCCCTATGTCCCCTGCCCCATGGAACCCAAGAGAAGTCCCCCATGACTCCCACTTTCCCTGACCCATGGAGCATCAGGGGAGTGCTTCATGACCCCCTCTTCCTGCCCATGGAAACCCTGATGACTCTCCCTTTCCCCCCCACTGCCTGCTGTCCCATGGAGCCCCAGGGGGCTCCCCCTGCCCCCTCTACTGTTGGTAGCCCAGCACGGGTTAGGGGATGTGGGTCGAGGGGCTCTGGGTTTGTGCCCAGGCTCGAGGGCGCTGATGCTGTGGGGTCCTGTGCAGGTGCCAGGACGGATGCCCAGGGCTGGACTCCTGCTGCTGCCCCTTCTCCTCTGCTTTGGGCCAGAGACCGCTGGGAGCATTGACCTGGCCGCGCTCAGAGTGATCGTGGATCATGTGAACTGGTGAGTGACCAGCCTGGGGTTTGTCTCTGTCCTTCCCTGCCCATGTACCCAGCTGTGAAGAGCAGCAGAGAATGTCCCTGGTTGTATCCCACCGGCTTGTAGGGACGCCTGGCAAGGTCAGGGGGGCCCCACTCTACTCGGCTCTGCTGAGACACCTCCTGAGAGCAGGGGGCTGCTATTGTGCCAGGCACTAGAGACACCTAACCGAGGGCAGAGAGCACCCAGCATGCCAGGGATGCACTGACCCCTGCATTAGATTATGCAACATCTTGATTCTGCAGGTGCAGGGAGAGATGGGGCCCAGAGGAGGGGGGGTATTTTTGGTTCCTATTCCCCTTTCTCTCCCTTTTACTTGGCATCTCTTGGCTCAGTCCCAGGAGCCCGGTGCCCCCGACCCCTCTGTGTCCTGCCCTCTTTCAGTAACGGTGGAGTCAACAGTCAGTACGCCTTCACCGCCACGCTGCCCCATGGCACCAGCAGCAACCCCCAGAATGTGTCCACCTGTCTGCCCACGACCCAGGTAGCAGACATGAGAGAGACGATTCGCCCGTCTGGTGCCCTGTACCACCCGCCCAGCGGGAACATCATGGCCGCCCGGACAAATGAAGTGATTATGCCGAATGGGAAATATATGGAGCACAATGAGTGGCATCTGCTCTCTGGCCCGAACAGCCTTGTGGCCCAGCTCACGGCCAGGACCTATGGCCAGGACAGCTGCCTGATCTTATTCACCTTGAACACTATGGAGCTGTTCTGAGTTTGTACAGCACCTAACACAATGGGGCATTGGTCCACTCGTAGGGCTCCCAGGTGCTGCCGTAAAACACCTAATAAATAATGTACAGCACCTAGCACTATGAGGTGCTTGTCCATGCCTGGGGCTCCTAAGCACTGCTAGAAAATGAAGAATAAATGATAGAGCAGCACCAAAAATTCTGGCAGAGCAATTTTCCATGGCTGGCGGGGGGAGTTATGCTGAAGGCTGGGAGGTAGCTGAATACTGTAGATCTAAGGAGATGACCTGCCTCAGGTCAGATATTTTGCACTCTCCTCCTCAGAGACAAACAGGTAACCACAAATGGGTCCAGTACACCACAGGATTCTGCAAGACGGGAGTGCTGGGGGCCTTTAGTAATTAGGTTGCCATGCAATGGCTAAGCCGTTAGACCGCATTTACATACAGGAATTAAGAAATAAGTGCTGCGAATCAGGGTTAAGGATCATAGCCATGCTGTTACCACAAGGAAGGGTATAAAATACCACCCCCACTTCCCATTTCTTTGGCTTCGTCAGGTCCCCGAGACAGTGTAAATGGAATCAGGACCTCCCTTCTGGTTCGCACCGCTTTCTTCCCCCTCCATCTCTGCTTCCAGCGGTCCCCGTAAGCTGTAAGTATGCGCAATGCAGGATGGGAAGTATGAGCCATGCCAGAACCTACTTTACTGTGCTTATTCTAACCGTTCTGTGTATTGATCCTTGCCCAGGATATTGTGTGTATTAAATACCGTTTCTGGGTGTGTTTCACCAGCTGCCATCTTCTCAGTTAACTGTAAAGTAGCTGCCTAGGAAAAGAACCTGTCATCTGTGATAGGAGCAGGTCACCCCCCAATACACAACCTGTGTAATCACTGTTCAGGCTGTCAGAGGCAGAGATTAAGAGAGAGTTCGCCTGGCCTGTGCTGCCTTGAACCATGTGACTGTCGAAACCATCTTGGCTCTGTCTCTGTCTCTTTTCCCTGAGTTCCCGGTGTGTGTGTGTCTCTCTCTCTGCAAAGGCCGGTTCTTCACCCCACCAGCTGGCACCTTTCCCCTCGGTTCTCCAACTGGGGTCTTTGCCTGGCTTCCCTGCAGAGAGGTGGGAAAACCCCCTTCCTCTTGCTTGTTGGTCACTAGCCTGTTGTATTTCTAGCTTCTTCATTGATCTGGGTCGGTTTCAGCCAGGCCTTTACTGACCCATTGGTTCCACCCCAGACAGCGGTATGACCTGACACCCCATGTCTCTCGCTCTGCCCTAAGAACTGTTGAAACTTGGTGCAGAGCAAGGCAAATCCCAGAGGGAAACTGAGGCACACTTACGCTTATTATCAGAATTCCCTCTCCAATAGAGTGGGGCCAATTGACACCAGCGGGGCACCTGGGCCCATTGACTGCAACTCAGAGATCCTGCTTTATGCCAGCTGGGGGGTCTGGCCCCACATTTCCTTGATGGGGACATGTCTTTGTCTGGGCACTGACTGCAGAGGCCCCATGAAGTTTCCTCGGGGTTTCCAAAATGAGGTACTGGTCCATGACTGGAGCTCTCAGATGCTACCATAAAATTAATACTAAATGATAGAGCTGCTCAAAAAATGTCTCCTAGCGCAGTTTTGAATTGGAAAATGCAGTCTTGTTGGACTGGAAACTGGGATTGTGTCAATTTGGATGAAGTTTTGTGTCGTTTCCTTTTTCCTTCCAAAAATACTTTTTCTTTCCCAATTTATTTTCCAGTCTATTCTATTATAAAGACATTCGCTATGATGCTGTATGATTATACTTATATATTAAGTTCTAAGTTACACAGAAAACAAAACATTCCCAACCGGAACAACACAATTCGATGTTACTAAACCTGAACGTTCCGACTGACCTGAAAGAAATTTTATTTTGGAAATTTTCATGTTGCCGGAAATTTCAAAATTCTCCCAATTTGGAACAAAACCACATTTTGAAATCACAGAATTTCTTGCAAAAGAGACATTTTCCTTTCCGTAGGGCTCTGAGAAATAGCAAACCAGTTACTAATCCATTGCACCACTAGCAAGAAGCAGCTGCCATCTAGTGCCCATACGCAGTATTGCAGGTGACACTGCATCCCGCTGTTTGCAGTCAACACAAACTTTTGGCCTGGACAGCATGGAAAACCAGCTCTTGTTGCCCATGAGGAAATGCACCCCTGATAGACTGTGGGGTGCCACCCTGCCCTGGTGCTAACTGCAGACAAAGGCTGTAAATCAAGGCATGGTTTACCCCATCACCCCTGGGGGAAATAGAGGGACGCTCTAATTACAGCTTGCTTTCCATCCAGAGTGCCAACTGCGTGTCTCCTTCCATGCACGCCCCGTGTGCTCTGCTGGGGGCTGTTCTCAAACGCCTGCTCAGCACAGGGTCTACTGGCCGACTGCAGAACCGTGGCTGTCTGAGAGACACGTCGGTCCTTGGCAGCTCCGCTGCTCCATGCTCAGAGCTCTCGCAGCTTGAGGCAGTCCCTTTCACATCCCCAGCCTCGCTACCGTCCATCCCTGGATCTAACAACCCCGCTCCTCCACCCCAAAGCCCACCATGAGTGGCGGCCTTGATTTTCCAAAAGTAATTAGCCAATTTGGTTACCTGCCCTGGAGAGGCTTTGTGCAGATCACGCTGTGTCTAGATGTGGGTTTGGGGGCACGGGGGGGAGGGGGAGGGGTGATGCCAATGTGTTAACACGGCACCTTCCCATCTCAAAAGTCCAGCAGTAGAGTGGGGGCTACTGAGTTGATTGCACCCAATGCAGCATGTATGATTACCTGCGGTGTAGGTGTGTATTCAGTGCAAGGTGCTCCTGGCCCTCAGGACCATGTACAGGCTTTGGAGACCAGAGTGGCTGAACTGGAGGAGCTGAGGGAGACAGAGAGGTCCATAGATGAGACTTTCCGGGACACAGTAGACTGGTCCCAACCCCCGTCTGACAGCCTCTGTGCTGTTGAGGAGGATGAAAGTCTCAGGGAAGCAGAACCAGGGCCGAATTAACTCGTTGTGTGCCTGGCTCCAAACATAATTGTAGGCCCCTCTGGGGGCAATGGAACATGGCACAGGGGGTTCGGTCCTTGGAGCCAGGGGCTGGCCAGGGGCAATGGGGCATGGCATAGCGCAGGCCGCCCCACTTCGCCCAGTGCACTGTTTAGAAACCAGCAGTCGTCAGACACACACTGGCCCACCGAGCCCTGTGCCCTCAATGTGCCCCTTCCCTGTGGGGGTGGGTCCATGCCGTGCCACACAGCCTCCCCCCCCCCGCACCCTCTGGACTCACTATGCCCAGCACCCCGCCCCCCAAAATGCACAGTGCCATGAACACCACCACACCTGCCCAATGCCCCCACGCCCTAAGCCCCACCACAACTGTCCAGTAGCCCTCCACGCCCCACTGCCCAGCATCCCAACATACACAGATCTCCCCCACCCACTCTGCCCAGTACCCTTCCTCACAGCCCCACCACCACAACTACACAGTGCCTCACACAGACCCCCCACTGCCTCCCACCCCAAAATACACAAACCTTCGCCACTGCCCAGTGCCTCCCACCCCTTCACATCCCAGCATCCCCCCCAGACCCACTCCCCCATGCCCTGCCTCCAGGCTCTGCTGAGCCAGCACAGAGCAGGATCTCCCCTCCCAGCACAGTGCTAGGGGGGCAGGACAGCTGGAGCTAGGGAGCACAGAGTGGCCCTGTCCCCCAGGACCCCACCTAGCCCTACCTGCTTGGCGTTGCTGCTGTCTGTGATGGAGGAGGCATTTCCTTGCATGGGCACGGGGTGTGGGAGGCAGCGTCCAACTTGGACAAATTGAAGGATTGGGCCAAAAGAAATCTGATGAGGTTCAACAAGGACAAGTGCAGAGTCCTGCACTTAGGACAGAAGAATCCCACGAACCACTACAGGCTGGGGACCGACTGGCTAAGCAGCAGTTCTGCAGAAAAGGACCTGGGGATTACAGGGCACAAGAAGCTGGATATGAGTCAGCAGTGTGCCATCGTTGCCAAGAAGGCTAACAACATATTGGGCTGCATTAGTAGGAGCATTGCCAGCAGATCGAGGGACGTGATCGTTCCCCTCTATTCGACATTGGTGAGGCCTCATCTGGAGTACTGTGTCCAGTTTTGGGCCCCACACTACAAGAAGGATGTGGATAAATTGGAGAGAATCCAGCGGAGGGCAACGAAAATGATTAGGGGACTGGAACACA